CCTGCAGTGCACTTGGCTCAGATTCCCCTTCAGGAAATTACTGATTTGGGCCCTTAGGAATTTGTAGCAAATATGTACTCAATAACAGAGCTAGTAATCCCCTCCCCAGGAGGGTGGTGAGGTCCATCTGCCATTCTGGGGGCAGGGGGTGATCAAGCCTTGGGCTACTGGGTCAGGCTTTTAAGAAGTGCCCATGGGGACCCATTCCCCAGGGCCCAGGCCCTTGGGTAAAAACCCCGGCCTTCCAGGGTCAGTCGGGGCGCCCCCACGGTGCTGAGCAGGCCTGACAATTCCAGACCTGACTCAGCTGTCACTAAGTTACACTCTTGGGGACCCGTCTTCAAATGACATGTGAGCAACAAACCACAACTGTGGAAGCCTTGCCAAGTTCAAATCCAGTTCACGTACATTGGGGTTTTGAATGGGGGTAAAGGGTGGGGTGGGATTTATTCTGAAACATGTCATTTTATTTTTGTTTACAACCAAGAAAATGTTCTTGAAGAGAGGAAAGGGAAAGGCAAAGAAAAGCTTTCATTACTAATCAAAGTAAATTTCTTAGGAACAGAAAAGAGAAGTTTTGCTGGATGAAACAGCTGAAAACATAATCAGAGGGAGAAAGAGGCATCGGACGTACCATGGTCAGGAGGGGAAGGAGGGCTGCAATGGGCCTGCTGGTATTATATATAAATTAAGTAAACTATACACACTTATTTAAGAGTAACCAAATGTTCTACAGAAAAGGAACAGTTAATTATAGCACATTTAGTCAATATCCTACTATGCAGCCATTAAAAATGGTGACCTTTAAGACTAACTTAGAATACAAAAAAGTTGCCCTGGCCTGTGTGGCTCAGTTGGTTGGGGCGTCGTCCCGTAACCAATGGGTTGCGCATTCAATTCCAGGGCAGGGCGTGTGCCTGGGCTGCAGGTTCAGTCCCTGGTCCAGGTGCACAGAGCAGGCAACCGATCGATGCTTCTCTCTCACACCAATGTTTCTCTCTCCCCCTTCCTCTCTCTCTAAAAGCAACGAAAAAAATGTCCTTGGTGAGGATAAAAAATAAATACAAAATGCCTGTGTTCTAAAGCTAAGAAAAGCAGGGGTAACATGCAGCTTTGTAAAAATTCCCATAGGAAAGATTAGGGGGAAAAAACCCCAAAATAAAGCAGTTATAGTAGGATTATAATATTTTTTCTTCTGTTTCCAAAGTTCCTGCAACATTATAAAGCACTTTATAATCGAAAACTTTAATATTATGCTTCCAAAATGAGGGAAAAAGAGCTGGTTGGTTAACACAGAAAAGAGGTGAGAAAAAGGATAATAAATAAACTTGGTCTGATTCATTCATAGCTCAAAGATCAGAGATGGTGTTTCAAGATTAAGAGCAATAAAGAAATAAATATCTAGCACTTGCACAGTGCTTTACAGCATGTAAAGTGCCTCTCGCTATATTACCCACCCCTCCCCCACCAGCTAACAAAGTAACACTCCTGTGCGCCTTGTACAACAGCCAGCCCCACCCCTGGCACCCTCACCCCACCTCGCCTCCACTTGTCTTAAGTTTCCACAACTCAAGAGAACCAATGGCACCAACACTATCGGACCTGGGCTGCCTACTCCTCCCACATGGTCTGTCCACCTGTCACAAGGCACCTGGGACAAGCAAGAGCCCAGGCAGGAAGCAGAGGCAGGGATGGGGCTTGGATGCGCCATGCTGGGAACCCCACCCTCGCCAGGCTGCTCCTCAGTGTTGGGTCCTAAGCCCTCTTCCCTCTTGATTCTGTGTACTGTCCCTGGGGAACTCCACAACTTTGTTATGGTTTCAGGTCCTCCAACTGCCTTCCTGCTATAATATAAAGCTGTATTTTCCAGGGGCCCTTTGCCCCTAACTTGCCACAGACTCATTCCCTCAACAGCCCTCTGAGAAGCTAACAGGTGCGCATGAGCACAGATGCGCACCTCAGGAGCAGCCACTGGCCTCAGGAATGCTCCCGCCATCTTGGCTGCGTCTCCCCTTCATCCCCACCCATCGGCTGCTGCCTGGTCCCACCCTCCACCCCGACCACTTCATCACCTCACCCCAGGGGCAGTTCGGGGCAGTAAAGGGCAAGGGTGCTGGGACCCAGGCAAGGGGAGGGATGTGGGAAAACCCTGCCAGCTGTAGCTCACCCTGCCTGTCCCCCGAGCCCCCCCAGCACCAGGCCATACTCTCCTTCACCAGATCCTCCGACTGGCATCGTCTGACCCCCTCATTCCCAGGCCCTGTGGCTGCAAGGCCCATACCTGTTGCTCAGTACTATTTACTCACTAATAAACGGAGCTCCGGCAACACCCGAGTCCCACACCCCATCCCACATCCCCTGACTATACCGCTCCTTCTGTTGGAACCACCTGCCCACCTCCCGCGAGGAGAGCCCCGCGCAGGCTGCATGGCCTGCCTGACGTGCCAGGCTGCTCCGAGGTCCCTGGGTCCCTTCTGTCTTTCCCGCATGGAGCCAAGTATGAGTCGGGGGGGGGGGGGGGGAAGGGGGCACAGGGAGACAACTCGGGCACTGGAAATGCTTCTTCAGTGCTGCCGGTGACCATGCAGCTAAAGGACACACAAATCCTCGAAACCCAGTGTGTTTCTAACTGTGAAACTCAGGTCCTGTCCACTGAGCCAGGAGGGGGTCCCTGGCTGGAGCCAACAGGCAATGGGAGAAGAGAAAGAAAAGGGCAGCCTGTAGGTGGGAGAAAGAAGGGAGATGCGGGAGTCAGAGGAAGTCCCTGGTGTTACTCTGATTCCGGGGACCGCGGGGCTGGGGGGCGTCTAACCACCTTGTTCTGATGTCCCTGCCCCTCCCATGCTTGATGGTGCCCCCAGTGGGTAACATGCGCCCAGAGGAGCAGCCAGCAGGCGAAGGATGCTTCATTCCACAGCTGGAAGAGTCCTATCCAGGTGTTTTCTCCTCACAACAACACAGGGCCCCACAGGGCTTAGTTTCCACTGTTCTCAGAGAGACCAAATGCAGGGCCACTGGGACGAAAGGAGGCTTTGGTGGGTGAGTCTGGGAAGCCAGGCACCTTTTGAAAAGTCACATTAGTCCCAAACAAATGACTCAGAAACCTCTGGAACAGAGCCCACTGACAGCTGGGACCTCCTGCATTCTATAGCTCAGGCTCCCAAACAGACCTTGAGAGTCCGCTCCCCCTCCCTTCCCAAAGCCACATCCAGGGCACTGCTTCCGTGCCAAGGCCATGCTCTCCTGGGATGCTAACATGGTTATTCTTGATTTACTTATTTTTCTATCTTTTTTCTGTTTTTCATCTGTTTGGATTTTTGTTTCTCAGCAACATGAAGACACCCGCAACCATGGATTCGGACTCTGGGAGCCACTGGGGAGGATTTCTGTTTTGCTCCCTTAAAGGAGAGCAAAGCATACGGGAAATTCAAACAGCCCAGGGCCCTGGCGGAGAGGAAAGGGTCAGACGTGACTTCAGTCCAAGGTAATGGTCAGAGTTTGGCCACTCAGAGTCACAGCAATGACTCTCGCCATTCCTCCCCAGAGAGCTTCCCGCAGAGCCCTCAGTGGGCAGAGGCACGAGCTGAAGGTCACCGACCCAGAAGTCACGACCGTAATGGCAGGTTGTCACCTTATGTGAATATGTCATGGGAAGAAAACCAAAGGGACCTGGGGCTTGTTGGTATGCCTGTATGGACTCACGTGCGCCTGCAGAATCGAGAGGCACAAACCTTTCATGAGCGATAGAGGGAAAACAGAAGAATCTTGGTCCAAAAACTAGGAAAAAGTTAATAAAACAGAGAAACACCTGTTTTCCTCTAACCACGTAAGAGGCGATGGGACGGCCCCCCGGGGTTCTTGCATCAACCACCAGCGGCACCGCCGGGCACCTGGAGACTCGGCCCTCTGCCCCAGGAGGCACCACTAATGGCGTTGGCCAAGACGGAGGCAGCGGTGTGACGTTGGAGCACTGGAACCAGGACTGAGAAATGGAGTCCAGGCACGGACACTCCAGCCGGAGGGCTGCTGTCACTCGCTGCGTGGCCTTGGGCAGGTGGCTTCCCACACACATGTAAAAGGAGACAGCAGGCAGGACACACACCTGTAGAACTCACTGATGCTAAGCCCAGTGCAGCCCCCCAGGTGGGTTACCAGATAATAAACTCGGAAGGCGGAGAGTCACATCTGTGCGTCCCTGCTGCCCCTCAGCCACTGGCCAGGGCCTTGGAACCCGGTGGAGTACAAGGCCATCCCTCAGTGCAGCTGAGGCTAAAATCCCACCCTCCCAGCAGAAGGCATCCTGCAGAGCTAGCAGCCCCTCCGCCATTGTGGCCACACCATTGTCCCCGTTGGGGTCCTCACACCACTCCTGTGGGGAGACCGCCACTCCCCCCATAATCTAACTACTCAGGGCACCATGCTCCCAGCCACAGAGAGGGATCCGTGACAAGCGTTCCTTCCCCCTCTACAGCTCTTCATGTGTCCCAGGGCACATGCACTTCATTTGATTTTTGACAACCACCGCACTGCACAGGCAGGCACTCAGAGGGGCACCGGCTCCACCCGTCAGTCACTTGCCAAAGCCAGCCAGTGACAGGCTACAGTCAGAAGCCAAGGGAGCCTCCTTCCCCACAAGAGGTCCTCCTGGCAGAGGTCAATGAAAAGCAATGGCCAGGACAACGCTGCCTCAAGACCAGGCCTAGGCAGGCCTTCCTGCCACCCCCTTGAGCTGGGCACAGGTGACAGAATGGCCCTGAGATCCAATGTCCTGACATCCTTCAGTCCCTAGGGACAAACTCTAGTGCAAAGCCAGGAGTTGAGAGAGAGGTGGTCCTTCCTGCACAGGCAGCTGAGACCTCCTGAGGGCTGTAGGACACATTATGACCCAAGGCCGGGGAAAACCTGATGCCACCCCCACCTTCAGAACAGGTACCACTCGGACTGCAAGCTGGTGGGAGGGGAAGCCCCAGGGTGACATCTAAGGCCAAGGCGGGACTCACCTCTCTCAGCAATTGCGTCCCCTTCAGCCCATAGTGCTGCTGCTGGGCCACGGTGACCCCCAAAATGAGTGTGTGCAGGACACAGGAGACCACAGAGATGACGACAATGGGGCTGAGGCTGAGGGGCAGCGTGATGAAGAAGGAGAAGACAAAGAAGGCCTGCCAGCCCACCGTGTCGCTGGCCGCGGGGGCACCGGTGAAGTTCAGGCCCAGGTAGGAGAAGACCTGGGCCGTTATCAGCAGCCACAGCAGGTAGGGCACCACTTTCCGGGTGACCCGGTCCGGGAGCAGACCCTTTTTGCAGAGCACGAAGAGGATGACGTCCAACACCAGCCCGACCCCAGCCACCACGAGGGGCGCCAGCTTGTCACTGGAGAAGACCACGGCGCACATGACCACCACGTAGCAGTCGAAGAGGGCCGCGAAGACCACCAGCACCAGCAGGGTCTCGTGGCGCTGCCTTTTGAAGTAGGTCTGGTACAGGTTCTCCAAGGACTCGGGCACGAAGGTCAGCCGCATGAAGCGCGGCAGGCAGAGGCAGGGCCCCGAGTTCCGCACGGAGATCTCCTGGGTGCGGCCCATCCCGCGGTCCGCGTCGGAGGGCAGGCTGACGGAGTACTCCGCGGAGTACTCGGCCGAGTACTCGGGGTCGGAGAAGCCCTGATTCCTCGGCATCCTTGCTGGTGTCTGCGGCTACTGGCCCTGGAAAAGTGGGCCGGAGACCGACCGAAGAAGGGCTCCGGTATGGGCCACCACCTAGCGGGGCTCTCTGAGACCTGGGGACAGCGCAGGGCCGGTCTCCTCGGGCAGGCACGCAGGACGGGTCTCCAGGGCACAGTCAGCGCTGATCATCTGGAACTTAAAAGACAGACGCCTCCAAGTAGAAGCAGCTCTTCCTGCCCACCTGAGCTTTCTCCCTGACCCACCCCACCGTTCACCAAAGAACTGCTGCTCCAAGAGGCTGTCGAACCGGGCCTACTCTGGCCATCAATCTCCACACTCCCGCCACCCCGGGTACACACGCTGAGTCCGCCCCAGTACTCGGTGTCCTGTCTTTGGCTGGCCGAGGGGCCTGGCCACCTCTCTAGCCCTGGCACCCCTGGTCTCTTCTCTGTGTCATCTCTTTCTCAGTCCCTGACTTCCTCACCTAAATCTCCTCCAGGCCCACGCCTTAGGTGCAACGTGCCAGAAAGAAGCCGGAGCCTTCTTGGGGATTCCTGAATCTTCCTTCTGTTTACTTCCTTTTCCCATCCAGCCCCCGGCGACTCCGACTCTCCACCTCGGGGCACTGTGTGCCCTCCGGAAGGCCGGCCCTACTCCTGCGCTTCGCTTACCTGTGCGGGAACTCGGGAGCCGCGTGGTCTGGGTCGGTCCCCGCGAGGCTACGGGGTCGGATCACGCGTCGGCGGGCGGGGTAGAGGGCTCAGCGCGCCCGGGGACTGCTCCCCGCGGAGCCGCGCCGCCCCGCCAGCCCCATGGCCCCCGGCCAGAGCGCGACTCCCCCGCCGTCAGGCCTGGGATCCCGCCGGGGGAGACTCGGAGCTGCCTCTCAGCATCCACAGGCGCCTGGCCGCAGGAGGGAGGAAGAGGCGGCGGCGACGGGGACTGGAAAATTCGGGGCGCCCGCCTCTGAGGTTGCGGCTCGCGGGCCGGAGCCGGCGTGCGCGGCGCAGCCCGACCCCTTCCTCTCGCCCCCGCTGTGGTCGCGGCGGCGGCACTGCTAGGGGCGCACCCGGGGCCCTCCCCGGCGCGAGCGCGGGCTGAGGCCGAGGAAGCCCGCCAGCATCCTCCGCCGCCCGCGCGCCGAGCGGAGCCAGCCGAGTCCGGGCGCGGCGCGCTGCACTGTGAGTCCCCGTGCGGCGCGGGCGGCTCCGGGGCCACGCGCGCTCCAGGCCCCTGGAGGCGGGCGGCGCCCCTCCCTCCCCTCAGTCGCCGCCCTCTCGGAGAGCGCGTCCGGGAGTTGGGGGTGTGGGTGTGGCGCCAGGCTCCAGGCCCGGGACCCGCGCGGGGAAGGAGAAAGGTGGGGAGGAGCGCGGGGCGAGAGTTGGAGGGGCCCCTGTGGCCCTGCGCTCCGGCACCCGGCGGCGTGCTGGCGGCGACCGCTGCGTGGACGCGCCGGGGTGGGCGGCGGACGGGAAGGATGGGCGAATCCGCACCGCCCCCCAACCGCACGCAGGCCCGCTCTCGGAGAATAAAAGCCCGGGCCCTGCCCTCCGGCAGGTGAGGCGCGCTCGGGGCACCCCCGCAGCCCCCTCCTCCTCAGCGGCTTCCTTCCGGGCGCGGAGAGGCCGGGGCTGAGGTTTCGGGACTGCTCCCGGGCCGGGCGTGCCGGGCCTGAGTCCCCGCCCCCTCTGGCAGCCCCAACGCCCGAGCGCGGGGCCTGAGCTTCCCCACGATGCGCCCGCAGCTGAGCCCGTCCTGAAGCTCGGGGGGCACGTGGCCCTGGAAGAGACCGCGCTGCACGGAGATCGCCCGTGCAGCTTCCACCTGTTTGAGATGTGTTTGAATTTACAAACTCTCCTCAGAAACTCAAATGCTCCTTTGAATGGTTAAGCCTATCAGTCTCTCACCCCTTAGTATAAATTATTTTCCTTGGATTTGACTGAACACCTTGCCAACCTCAGGCTTTAGGAATTTAGATAGAGGGAGAGGAAGGAGATGAGTTGTTGGGGAACAAAAGCCTGTGGGAGGGGTAGGGGATTGCTGAGGATGGCCAGCGATGGCAAAGGATGGGCTCCCCTGGGGCGAGCAGAGGAAATGGGTGCGAGAGAAGAGAACTCAGCCGTACAGACTCTGGATGGAGCTGCCTCCTGGAGCTCCCGCAAGTGCCCTTTCAGAACCCCAGGCAGCAGCTCCATCTCTGCGGGGACAAAGTCATCGGACACCTTACGGATCCTATCGCGGCTGTTTGTATCAGTCCCTCACACTAATTCTGAAAAGCCCTCAGCCTCAGCCGCGACTTGTCAGGGCTTTGATTCCAAAAGGGCAGGGACAGAACCTCAGATCGAGGAGGAGGATAATTTAAATAAAGCAGCACCTTTCCCATTGTTTTAATTTGTCTGGAGTCCAAACATTTAGTCTGAATTGTTACATGATGTTAAAGAAGGCGTGATTTTTACGTTTAACAAAGGGACATGTATTAATAAAAGGAAGAAAGCAGATAAATACTGTTTGGGCCTGCTTTGGCACGAGGGACACCCACTTTGCCCCCTTGGTGGGTTCCTTCCCCTTTCCTGGCACACATGCCAACCCTTGGCTCCTGGGCCCCGGGGATTTCCTGCTGGGTCTTCTACCATCATCCCTCCCCCCACCCACACCCCCATTGGTCCTCTACTGTGAAGGAGAGAACTCCACACAGAGATAGCCCTGGTATAAGCCCATCTCCGGCCTTAACTACTGGCCTCACTGTGTCACTCCCTGCCCTCCCGCAAGCCTCCTCTCCTTGCTGCGGGCCCCTGTCCATCAGACATGCGCTCAGCAAACAGTGGATCAGGGAAGACCCTAGGAGCCACCCAGTCCCTGCTCTCAGGACACCTGCCAGCTCTGCTGAGCCCCAGATCCACTGACAAGACAGACCCTCAGCTGTGTACGGGGGCAGCCAGGGGAACCTGAAACAGGGCCTTTCAGGGCTGGAGGGAAGGATCTGATCAGGTGACTGGAGCCTCCTGGCAAAGTCTCAACAACAGGACAGCACCCATCACAGCACATCCCCATCACTGCTGTGCATTCTGGGTTGTGGACACAGCCCTTCCCTGTGGATGTGGGAACCCCCTCTGGTCAGCTGCAACCCTCCCCGTGCCTTCCTGGGAGCCAGAGGCTACTAAGTAAAGATTCCAGAGCAAGAGAGCCGCTTGAGGTCCTGCCCACAGAGCAGATCAGGATAATACAGCTAATTGGAGATAGGCAGCCGGGCCAAGAGCCTCCTCCGTCTCTCTCACAGCTGCTTCTCCAATACATGACACCCAACGGGTACTCGAAACAGCCATTGAATGAGCATGGTTGCCCTAAGAAGAAATGGCACTCTGTAGGTGCACTGGCTGTCATGAGGGGAACAACAGGCCTCATTGATGTTGAAACTGTCCTGGCCCAGGGACAGTTAAATATAACCACAATCAAGAAAAAAGCTATACATTTTGCATCGTTGTAATCTAGATGATCGGCATACATTGCTTTTACAATGAAAAGATACAATAAGTCTGCCCTGACCAGTGTGGCTCAGTTGGTTTGCCATCGTACCGCAAAGCAAAAGGTCACCAGTTTGGTTCCTAGTCAGGGCACATGCCTGGGCTGCGAGTTTGGTCCTTGGTCAGGGCACATTCGAGAGGCAAAATGATCGAAGTTTCTCTCACACATCACTGTTTCTCTCCCTCTCTTTCTCCCTCCCTTCCTCTCTCTCTCCAAAAACAAAAAACAAAAAAAAAAAAACCCCAATAAATCTATCTTTAAAACACGCACACATGCATGCATGCACCCACACAACCCAAGACCATGAATGGCTACATGGGTGACTTGTCTATGACACGTGTCCCACAGTGAACACAGAGTCATGGACTTGGGTAGACACATGGAGGGCATCCTGACCCCCATCCTATCCCTATCTCAGGATCCGCTTGGATAGGATACCTTTTGGTGGAAGGCATCTTTTGTTTATATGGTTTGAGAATAGAGATGATTGCTTAGAATTACCTGTTATTGGATAAACAAGAGTGATTTGCCCCCTGGGGAAGTGTGGTGGCTCCGGAATCCAGCAAACAATAGATCAGAGCAGAGCCCTGGAGTCCTGGGGAAAGAGAAGTGGGAGGAGCGAAGATCATTGGCTCCCCTGGTGCTGGGCCCGGGAGAGCCTGGTTTGAGGCTTTAGCTGAACGCTGAACCTGAGACCGGGGCCCCAGCAAGCAACTTAATTGGGAGGCGATTCCTGGGAAAAGGCGGCACAAAAGCTGGGGAATGTGAGTGAGACAGAGCAGCTGCTGCTGTGGGCAGGGGGGAGCCGCCCCTCTGGGACCCCCCCAGGAGCCCCAGAGAAGGCACCTCAAAGTTTTTCACTGGGGCCAGAAGAGAACGTTCACCCACCTGCACCCCTCCCCCATCGGTTAGGGTCACCAGCTGGGGTGTCCACTCCCGAGTACTCCCAGGTGGGTACAAGTCTCAGGTGGTGCCAGGATGGAGAGGCAAGCAGCCTGCAGGGTGTACCTGCAGCAGTGACAGGTGGCCTGCAGGGATGTGGCACCTGACACACAAGTGTCCCAACAGGGCCCAGAGGGTTGGATTGTGTACCAGGAGGAGAGAGACACATGGCACAGGAGAAAGGGTGCACGCTCATTAATGGAAAGCTCAGCCTGTGCTCTGCCCCTGATGCTCCATGGGACCTTTGGACAAATTATTCAACGTCCTCAAACCTCAGGGTCCTGGTGGTGTGATGGCCGGGTACTATCCCCGGGAAACAGAGCCATTGGGAGGAAGGAGGGATTAATGGGAACCAAAACGTTTGGCAAATCTCCACAGGACAAGTCAAGTGGAAGCTACTGTTCCCTCCTCCGCTGGACCCCCGCAGAGCTCTGGCCATTTCTGACCTGCACAGGGCAGGGATGGGGGCTGCCTCCCGGGGCCCTTTCCGCAGTTACGTCCGGGAACCTCTCGGGTTCCATTGCCACTTCCCTCTCTGATGTCGTTGG